GGAGTGGCCAGGGCCCGTGGAGGGTCGGTCAGGAGTCGGCGGAGGGGGCGGTCCAGGGCCGGCGGAGGAGTGGCCAGGGCCCGTGGAGGGCCGGTCAGGAGTCGGCGGAGGGGCGGTCCAGGGCCGGCGGAGGAGTGGCCAGGGCCCGTGGAGGGCCGGTCAGGAGTCGGCGGAGGGGCGGTCCAGGGCTGGCGGAGGAGTGGCCAGGGCCCGTGCAGGGCTGGTCAGGGGCCGACGCAGGGGCAGCCAGGAGCCGGCGAGACGGAATGCATAGGAAATTGTGGAGTGATTGGACGTGAAATAAGGGAACGTGTTGCGTGTTAGAGATCCGAAATTGTGTAACTTCTGGGGGGATATCAGTGAGGCTGAAGACGCGAGAGTAGTTTGCGTTCTTTAGCTTTTCCCGTCGGATAATCCGGTCTCAAAAGCTTCAGTCTGCTGGAAACTGCAATGTAGGTGTGACTGAGTCATGAAAAATTGCTTTGTTACACATCCGGACCAACAGGTCAGCTCGAGCATGGCTCTTACATATGCATATAGGCGTGTGAAATGCCTCAAAATTACTCCGATCACATCGTTACTTTATGACATCAGCAGCAGCTCAAGCAAAAACGCTTGCGTAAACGGTAGTTCTTGCGGCTATCCAGACAAAGCCGTGCTTTAAACAGGGCCGGGGCACGCACCGCACGAGTACATTTGAAATAGCCGGACCTTTACCGCGTGGCAGCTTCTCAGCGCCAGTCCGGCACAGCGCTGCACTGACACATGGTCCTCAGCTGGGAGCCGGCCGGCAGTGATCTGCGGTCGCCGGGGGGTGTTGTCGGGGCAAGGAGAGGGGGGCGCCCGTAAGCAGCTCACCGCTAGCTGACATATCCCGCCAGTGGCGTCGGCTGCCAGGGGGAGGGGTGCTGGGGAGGGTAGCGGGGGTGGTCGCCAGGGTGGGGAGGGGGGGGGGGGGCGCGTGAGCAGCTCACCGCCGGCTGACATGTCACGCCTACGGCGCCGGCTGCCGGCGGGCGTGACTTCTCGGCGCCGCAGCGCTCACGTGATGTGCAGTGTCGTCACCGGGCTTACGTCAGCGCCGTGGTTACGCAGCGCACGGAGCGGCAGACAGACGGCGTCGCTGCCGAAGGTGACGCGACACGCCGTCAGCCCGAGACCGGCAGGGGTGGGCTGGCGGGCGACGGCTTAACGTCCTTCTGTCGCCGCTGAGGAGCCGGGCCTGCGCGGCTCGGCCAGCCGGCGGACGCAGACGGCAGCAGACGCCACCGCGCAGGAAGCGAAAGTCTGATAAACGTTTTCGGCAGACACGCCCAATCTAGTTGACGGGGCTGTTGGCGAAGACAGTTAATTGTGTAACTGGGGACGCGTACCTGTCTTCCCTCGCTCTCGCTCCAGCTCTCTCTTTGTCTCGCGATTTTATATCATTTTACTGTTGGCATTTTGTGCTGTCACCTAAGCCGTGCATTGTAACCACGATCGTGAGGACCAGCCATACCGCAAAGATCTGTCCGATAAGGCGGGCCATAATGACAGTGCACCAAGGCGACACAGCACCCCGCAGCCGTAGCTCAGGTCCATTCAGCCCTCCCGGTGGCCGCCGCCCTGGTCGGGGCGGGGCCACCCGGCCATCTCCGACCGCTGGGCCCTTGCGGCCGGACGGGGCCCTCTCCTGCCGCGGGGCCCCTGCAGCCGGGGCGGGGCCGCCGCCGCCGTCACCGTCGCTCTGCAGACGCGGGCGGACGGCCATCTGCCGGTCGGGCGGAGAGCCGGGCCCGTTAGCCAGCCGGCCGCGCCGAGCCGCCGCGCGCCGCACCCGACCCCTGACCTGCGCCTGGCTCCGTGTCACTGCCGCGACCGGCTCCGGCGCCGCCCGAATGTGGGACAGCGCCTGGCCCGGCCCCGCCCGGCCCGCCCGGCTGCCGCGCGCAATGATGCTATCGGCTCGGAATGTCTGTAACCGGCCCGGCGAGGAGGCGTCTACTGCGTCACCCGCTGGCTGGTCAGCAGCGGCGCGGCCGCCCAGCCCGCCCACTCGCGTCGGCCCCTCGAGGCTTTATTCAGCTCGTGCGGAACTGATAGTCGCACAACGCACTGTGTTTACATGCAGTTGGTATGCACGATGAAATCTGATATAGTTATCTCAACGCCCGACTGAATTATATCGGCTGTTTGGCAAAGGTGCCTATGCGAGATTTGTACTTGTACGGGCCCAAGCAGGGCCCGGAGGCTTATTAAGAAGGGGCTTCTGTCTAAATGGTAAATCACGAAGGGCACATCAGTAGCCGTAGGAATGTTGGAGTACTGGCTGGCGAAACACATAAAAATAGGTGGTTCATCAGTCTTTGACAAGACCAAGATAGTCGAACGCTTTTTTAATGGCACCCACCTTGTTCACCCGGCAGAGCATCTATTTTTTCACCCCTTTATGCGCTGAGACGGGCTTTTGTCCATGACATGATTAAGGGCACGACGCTCAGCTTTGGAGCTTTGGATGCCCGGTGGGATTTTGAACGTCGAACTCAAATTTGGCACCTGTACACTTGGGATTATTTTGGGATTGCACGGGTTTCCGTCCTGAAGCAGAGTGGGGTCTCATGCAGTTATTTCAGCTGCTAGCAAGCCAGAGCGCTATTAGAGCTACCTAACTGGTCATGGCATGCCCAGATTGATAGCAAATAATACCGGAAAGTGCAACTTTCAATACTTGCCAAATAAATCAAACAGTAAATCAGAGACACTTTGCGATGCCACAGTGAGGACCAATTAATTTTCTTAATAATTTTAAGAAAAATTACGTATCCCATGTGAAGAGCAGTTTAACGTTATGGCAGTGCATCTAAGTACTAGAATACTTCAAAAGAAAAATATTGTTATCGCTAGATGTTCTAAGGGGGTTTAATTTGTGTTTGCGCGCTAAAGATGAACATCGTGGCGTCAGTTTATTCTACAGAACATACCGGACGATAGCGTACGTCTTGAGGCGTCCATTTTGTATGCGTGAAACCATTTTCAGAAAAATGTTGCTGCCGTTGGACGTTTTCCACCCTGGCCTGCGTGTTTCTGGACTTAACTAAGTTATGTGAAAGGAACGGTATCTTTAACAGTTAACGCGACACCAAATAATGCCCTTGAAATAAGAGTTCAAACAAGAAGTGTCCGGCAAGTAAAGCAGTGGTAAAATAAGCGGTGACTTGCCGCTTGTCTTTCCTGTCGATGTGTACATAGCTGCGAGAAGTACGTAAAGTCACTGAGGAATGACGTGATGACATTTCCCTATCACCGGCGGTATGATCGGTATTTAGTCGATTATTAGAAGTGAAATGAATGCCAGAAACCTAGTGGTTTCCAGGGAGCGACGATTGCCTCATGCTAACGGACCGATGGACCAGCCTCCTTCCGCTCCGTCATTCCGGTCATGAGCAGAACACCGCTAGGATCAGACGTTGCTAGCCTGGATCCTCGCCTTCGGCGGGCCTACACGTGTACTGAATACTCTTCTTCGGCATGACTAGACACGCCAGTCCGAATCAAACGCTATCCAGCCGGCCGCCCTAGACTCAATGTGAGGCTATCACACTGGCTCAAACCCTTGGGCGGTAGCCAGGCTCACATGCGGAACTTTGCTCTTTTAAGCGCTGCAGCTGCAGCCCAGCATCTGAAAACGTGACGGCTAAGCCGTGGTGTTGGCATGGAAATACCGAGTTCTCAATCCCCATTTACGTTCCCACTTTTCGGCAAAGCTCGGCTGGTTGTGAGGTTTTGGGTGCGGGTCCGGCGCGGGTCCCAGCCGCGTGCGGGACCGGTGCGGCCGACAGCCGGCGGCCAGCGGCGCTGCCTCGACGGCGCCGCCGGCGTCACGCGGGCAGCGCCGTTCCCAGGCCGGCGGCGGGCGCCGATCCCACGGCCAGCGGCCCGTCGGCCCGGGCGCGCGCACCCCCACCGGGCCGCCGTGTCGGCCCGGCGCCGGCGCACCCGGCCGGACCGACCCGCCGCCCAGCTGGTCCGGCACGAGGCCGGCGCACCCGGCCGGACCACCGCCCCGCCCAGCTGGTCCAGCCCGGGCGCCGGCGCACCCGGCCGGACCGACCCGCCGCTCAGCTGGTCCTGCCCAAGCGCCGGCGCACCCGGCCGGACCGACCCGCCGCTCCGCTGGGCTCAGCCTTGTGCACGTCCTGGCTAGCTCGCAGACTGAGGGCAGTGATGGGGTGCCAGGACCATACTCTCGCTTTCCACGTAATTCCATCATTAGAAATACGATGGTGTATGAAAGATTGTCTTGAGAGAGGTTTGTGTAGTAATTTTTTGGAAGTGTCCATTCGCCCGCAAGTTATCTTGCCACTTGTCTTATGTCTTCCTATCTTCTCTTATGCATTCCTGTATCAAACTAAGTGGTGTCTGGGCGTTAGTCACACTGGCGTGACAAGCAGTTTCCGCATAAAGATCACGCCAGTGGGGCTGCGCCGGCGGTGAATTGATATGCCTAATCAGGCTGTATTATGATGGATCACATTTAGAATGGAATTTTGCTTCATGCGTTTAAATACAGCCACCATGTAGCAGACGCGATTTGGTAAAAAACATCGCGACGTTGTCAAGGACTTAATGAGAGGTATAGAAGGGAACTTTCCGCCGGATTTTGATAGCAATGAGCAAAGAATGGCCTGCTTATCGACATATTTTAAAGGATTCGTGATATGGAATTTATCTATGAGGGTTTTCAGATGCAAGCTGTTTGATCCCACGAACCTCGAGTGTATGTGTGATTATAATGCAGAGCAGGATGTCCTGTATCCCGCAGTGTCTATGGCTGATAAACGAGCGGTGATGGCTGCAGGTATGTTGCGTGACGTCGCCCGCGGCTGCCGCCTTGTATCCACCCGTGTCCGGTGTCTGTGTGCCGCTGGCCCACTCGCCGCGGACCGACTGTGAGGCCGCGCACGCCGCCGTCTGTGACGCCGTGTGACGCGTCCGTTGACGGAGGTTCGTCCGCCCCGCAGGCTCGCCTTGGGAGGTGGAGGTGGCCGCCATGGACGCTGCCGGCGGTCTGCAGGTGCTGGGCGAGCACCTCAAACACTTTCCGGCGTCCAAGCCGGCCTCCATTGACATCTCGGCGCCGGGCAGGAGCAAGGCGGACCTCTCTGTCGACGTTGTCGGTCAGTGTCTGCACGTGCCGGGTAGCGGGGCAGAGGGTAGGAGGGCTCCGTCTTCACGTGGGACTGACCACTGGTCTTCACCGCATGGCGGGGCGGGGAAGCCTTGCCGGGTGGGGCTGGTCAGCGATCACCAATCCTCGTTGTAGAGAACAGGGCAAGGAGCCTCGCCGACGGGCGGGAAGTTCACTGTGACAGAGGGCAGGAATCCTTGCCGACGGGCGGGAAGGTCACTGTAACAGAGGGCAGGAATCCTCGCCGCCGGGGGGGAGGGGGGAGGGAGAGATCACTGTGATAGAGCGCAGGGAGCCTCGCCGAAGGGAAGGGAAGGCCACTGTGACAGAGGGCAGGGAGCGTTGCCGACGGGCGGGGAAGGTCACTGTAACAGAGGGCAGGGAGCCTAGCAAACGGGCGGGGAAGGTCACCGTGACAGAGGGCAGTTCGGGCCCTTGAGGCATCACAATGAGATCCTGAGCCTAAAATCGTCCCCACCCTAAAAACAGGCCGCCTATTGTGGCAAAGTGGACTCCTTGGTAGAAAGGGCTCCCTATGCTAAGATTTACCCTCCCCCTGGGCGAAATCCTGACTACGCCACTGGATACTAATTCCCTTTTAAGTGCACGCCGTGGTGTCGTTTTCAGCTCAAAGCTAACCATCCGCGGCAAGTGCTTCTAATTTGTCTGACGGAACGTTACTAATGTGCCCTCGCTGTCGCAGGGATGGGAACCCATCAGCGGAATAGACACAGTAGCAACAATTACGTCTTTAAACGGCATGTGTGAGACCGAAAACATATGCGACGAATACCGTTAACGCTATGACAGTTTCAACGTTTGTCCATGAGAATTCACTGCAGCCCAGTGACTTGGCACAGCAGGGTAACACTTTGTCCCAGTCTCCCCTGCGGTTCAGGATCACAGCCAAAAATAGAAACAAACGACTGATGAGAATAGCGATATGTGCAGCTGTCATGCATAGTTTAAATTTTGCTATGCGGCTACGCGCAAATCCTCCGTCATGGTTTGTGAGCTGGGGTGAAAGCTCTGAGATTTTCATGTAAGATAACCGGCGACGAGTTGTGCAAAGTGTGACACATTGGCGATTATCTGAGCAATGCAGACAGTTGGCGGTTTGTGCGCTACAGACCGTGGAATGGTCACTCCGTTGCATCACGTGGTTGCATAACGCAACATAGCACCGAGCCCCCCCCCCCCCCCCCCATCCCATTCTCGCGGAGCCACCGCACCGGATCTCGCCATCCCGACTGCGCCGCGTCGCTTTCGCCCGTGCTTCGGCGCGTGACGCCGCGGCGCCCGCGCCACGTACTGGCACGTGTTTGGTCACGGCACGGGATCACGTGCGCGGCGGCCCCGCGCGGCCTCGGGCCGGGAAGGTCAGCCGGCCGCCGGGGCGGGGCGCGGCGCCTTTTCTTCCGGTGAGCGACGGAGCAGGGCCAGACCAACATCCGGGAACCTGGCAGGCTCCGCCCCCGCCGACGCCGCTGGCAGGCGGCCAGCCAGTGGTGCATTGTCAATTCGTCCGCGATGCGCGAACCCCTTCTTGGGGGGGGGGGGGGAGCAGCATGGTCTGGTTTTTTTTTGTTAGACACAAAGGGTGGATGCGGTCCAGTGGCCGGGAAGGCAAAAGACATGGAGTCGTAAGCCTAAGAACGCGAGACACTGCGCGTTTATGACGACCGACGAGGGACAGAGCTATGCGGGCCGCGCTGATGGTCGACAGGGAATTGCTCGCTGCAGTGACAACATCAAGCTTTTCACGAATCATGACATGAACTCACGTATTGATATCAGCGTTTAAACGAGAACGTCAGTGCATGACACAAATCTTGAGAAATCACAAATTCATCATGTGAGTTACATCAATCAAATAACCGCCTTTACTATGGATGATGAAACTGGTTTAACCTTTTCCATCCCCTAGTGCCTAGTGCTGATACGTCTCGAAAAAACAAGTGTCATTTTGGAAAGTTCATACGCACACCACACACACACACACACACACACACACACACACACACACACACACACAACACACACACACACACACACACACACACACACACACACACACACACACACACCACACACACACGCGCACGCGCACGCACACGCACACGCACACGCACACGCACACGCACACGCACACGCACACGCACACGCACACGCACACCGCACACGCACGCACGCACGCACGCACGCACGCACGCACGCACGCACGCACGCACGCAAATTTTTGCTTTCGAACTGAAGTAAGCGGGACCCACCACTGCTTTACTAGTTGCTCAAGCAGGAAAACGTCCGACCGCTGACGCCACGGGTCGGCTGAGGCGCGCGTCGTGCGCGGCGGCCAGCCTGCGTGCCGTGGCGCCGCTGTTACATAATCCACGTCACGAGGACCACTGCGATCCTCCCGACTCCGACGGGCTCCAGACACTGGTGCAGCGTGCGCGTGTGTTGAACAGGGGGCCGCGGTCAGAAGCGGGTGGGGCCTGTCACCGCGCCCTCGCCGCGACGCTGACCGGCCGCCGCCTCCGCCGGCAGGCCCGTCCAAACGGACGGTACCGTTCACACTGACAGAGACGTCCAGTGGGATCTTCAAGTGTCAATTCTCCGCCTCCGAGGTGGGGAGTCACGTGATCAACGTCAATGTCGACGGACAGCCGGTGAGTGTGGTCGCGTGGACGGCGCGGTCGGCTCTGCGGCTCCTCCTGGCCGCAGGCGCGAGCGCGTCTATTCTAGGTGACGTGTGTTCTCATGGTTGTCGGCCACTCGATGGCTAGGTCTGAATTAGTGGCTGGGCTGGTCGTCGTGAAATTGCTTATCGCTGCCGTTCGGTATTCGCGTGATGCTGACACATTCACGCCGCGGTCCGATGGCGTGCGTGTGGGTGCTCACATGCTGGGTGTGGGTGAGTGTGTACACCCAGTTCTTTGCTGCAGATGGCGACATACTGGACGCCATGGTTGTATTATTGCTCCGTGTGGGCCTCATGCTCATGTGTTTTGAAATAGCACGGTTTGCGCTCGTTATAAGGCCTTAAGAATGGAATCATCTCGACTTGAATGATTGAGTCACCGCTGAGTGGGCTGCAATCCCCCCATGCATCTCAGGGATTACCCGGAGCCGGCTTCGTCCACGGCACCGCCAGTTTATTTGTTCTGATCCGCGTGTATGACGCGGTTCGCAAGCGTGCGCATGTGGCACGTGGTGCCCCGCCGTGACCCGCCCTGTGCCCCGCCCCCTGTCGCGACCCGTGACCCGCCCATGAGCCCCGCCCCTGTCGTGACCCGTGACCCGCCCCCTGTCCGTGACCCGTGGCCCGCCCTGAGCCGCGCCCCTGCCGTGCCTCCGCAAGATTCCGGGCAGCCCGTTCGTATCTAAAGCATACAACGCCGGCCTGATCCGCGTGTCGGACGTTCCCACGGGAGTGGTGGGCCAGACCTGCCAGTTCAGAGGTGAGCCCTCGCGCTGGGCAGAGTGCCCCTGCCGCCGCCGCTTGCCGGCCTCGCAGGCGGGCGGGCCTGAGGAGGCTGCCAACGGGCCGCCGGCACGCGGAAGAGCGCTACGCCCGCCACAGAGCCGGCTGACTTTCGGGTACAGCGGGCGGCACGCGGAATATGCTGCGCAGCGTGGTCAACAGAAGTGTGGTGAACAAACGGTTCCTGAAGCTTGTTTATCCGCGCAGTGCGAAATGGGTCATCTTGATTTGACCACGGATGATCGCTTAACTATCCATCGCTTTCACACAACGTTTTGTTCGTGATGGTGTCTGTGTTCCGCTTCCAACGGAGGCCAACCGGTCAGGGTATGACCTCTCACCGTTGGAGATGCTGGCCAGCTGTCGTGGCCTTTCATTTCGCTATTCATCGTTACCAGCTGGAGTGTATGGGTGACGTCACTTGCCTGTGTCCGGGTGGGTGACGCCATCTGCTGGTGATGCACGAATGTGACGTCACCCGTCCGTGCCCGCCAGTGGACGCGAGCCAAGCCGGCGAGGGCCAGCTGGAGATCTCCATCAACGACGGCGAGGTGCCGAACCACGTGCAGGTGTTGGGTGGCGGCCGCTGCCTGGTCACCTTCACGCCCGAGATGCCCAAGACGCACACGATCGACATCAAGTTCAACGGCGAGCCGGTGCCCGGCTGCCCGTTCGTGTGCCGCGTGCAGGGCAGCTCGCGCGTGACGGTCAACCTGCGGCACCTGGAGCTGCTGCCCGTGCAGCAGCCGGCCAGCTTCCTCATCCACATCGACGGCGGAGGCAACGCCGAGCTGGCCGTGTCGGTGCGCGGCCCGGCCCACTCGACCCTGCCGGTCAAGGTCACCGGCAACGTGCGCAGCGGCTTCACGGCCGAGTTCACGCCGCTGGAGGTGGGCGCGCACACGGTGCTGGTCGAGTACAACGGCGCGCCCGTCAGCGGCACGCCCTTCACCTGCAAGGTGTACGACACGGGCCGTGTCACCGTCACCAGCATGCCGAAGGGCGCCATCGGCAAGAGCCTGCAGTTCACAGGTGGGTGCCGCCGCAGCCGGCAGCGGGCAGGGGTGGTGGCCGCGCGCGCCCCCGGGCGCAGGGAAGCGTGCTGGGGCCAGGTGGTCACTTCACCGGAGTGGGGGGCGCTGGGACGGCGCAGGCACGGGCGCGGCACTCTGTTTGTTCGGTTTCGTGTCCCTCCGCTGGAATGAGGAAAACACGAGCAATGTTTGGTGCAGAGGCCGGCTGTTTTTTCGATCGGCTTATGTGGGCTGCAGGCTTTCCGATCGTGTTCAGCGGGGCATTGCCCGCTCGTTTGCGATCGGGTGAATGCACGTTCCTGTGCATAGTGGCGCAGTTGGCTCACGAAAAATGCGCATCGGCACACACTGCGGGCATTTCCGGACTATTACTCACGTCAATAGTGGTGTCGGGGGGCTCCGCCGGTGTTGGGTTTTAGCGCTTGTTGTCGGTCAAATAGGTCAGGAGCTAGTCGGGGTCTCGGTGCTGATGACTCACGCGGTAAAATTGACCTCTCGCATGCTATACACTGCACAAACATCCTGTTTGGCAGTGGTCCGTTACCTTCCGAAGGAACGAACAGCCCGCTGCAGTGGAAAGGCTCCGTTGTCCTTGAGAGGCTTTCCTCGCCTCTCCGGACGGCGGTGCGTGGGCGGGCCACACAAAGGGCCACTCACCGTAGCGGTTTGACCTCGGCCGCCGGGCGGTCCTATCGGAACCGCATCGGACGTCCGAGCTCCCCACGAGCCGGCGCCGCGCCGCGGGCCGTCACAGCCCGCGGCGGCGGGTCTTCACAGCGTGCGGAGATCGGCCCGGGGAAGCCCAGGCTGGTTAGGGGCTCTGCTCCGTGACGGATCGCACGTGCCGTGACTCGGCTGTCCACTGGTGGCTGCTGCCGCTGGCTTTGGGAGTGGTCGCCGAGTTGTTGACAGTTGTACACGAACCCTGATCACGCACTGTCGCCCGTCGCCTCCGCACGGCGACTTCCCGCTGCCACCAGATAGCCGCGCTCGAACAAAGATAATCGGTCGTCACCGCACCAAGGCCCCTGCGGAAGCTCGCGGTCGCCACACGTCATCATACATCATATGCATCATCATACATACATCCTACATACATACATACATGCATCATCATACATACATCATACATACATACATACATGCATCATCATACATATATCCCTCTGAATACCGGCGTCTGCAAACCAGTGTATCTGTGTCCACGTCCCTGCGTCAGTCAGTCCCCTGTGTGGGAACCCCCGTCAACCGGCCCGTCACGCCTGTGTCTCCAATCCAGCCGAGATCCCTCCGGCAACCCTGCGCCAGCGGACACATCGCCGATACCTCAGACCCAGCCGGACCCCTCGCAGGTACTCCTACACCAGCCGGGTCCCTCACCGGTACCCCTGCTTTAGCCGGAGCCTTCGCCAGTACCCCTGCTCCTTCCGGGTCCCTCACCGGAACGAGCCCCTGCTCCACCTGGACCCCTTGGCAGTACCCCCGCACCAGCCGGACCCCTGGCTGGTACTCTTGCTCCAGCCGGGTCCCCTGCCGGTACTTCTGCACCATCCGGGTGCCTTGCCGGTACCCCTGCTTCAGCCGGAGCCCACGCCAGTGCCCCTCCTCCAGCCGGACCCCTCGTTAGTACCCCTGCTCCTTCCGGGCCCCTTCCCGGAACGAACCCCTGCTCCAGCCGGACCCCTTGCCAGTACCCCTGCGCCAGCCGGGTCCCTCACCGGTACCTCTGCTTCAGCCGGAGCCCTCGCCAGTATACCAGCACCAGCCGGACCCCTAGCTGATATTCTTGCTTCAGCCGTGTCCCTTGCCGGTACTCCTGCACCAACCGTGTCCCCTGCCGGTACTCCTGCACCATCCGGGTGCCTTGCCGGTACCCCTGCGCCAGCGAGCCCCGCGCCGGCGCGCCAACCCGCCGCTTCCGTGCCGTCACGGGCGCCGCATCCGGCCGGTGCCCGTTATCCTTCCGGCGGACTCACGGGCCGGCCGTCTGCAGGCAAAAACAGCTGGCATGGCGCGCCATCTGCGGTCCGGTGCCGCCGCCCGCGCCACTCCGCGCGGGAAAGCGCGCCGCCGTGGGCCGGAGACAGTTCTCACGGCCGGTCATTCATAATGCTGATGGCCGACGAGCAAATAATGACCGGCCGGCCGCCCTATGCGGCCAGTACATGTCAGGAACTTTGCCAATCAACGGAGTGGGCCGATTTGTTCCACAAGTCAAGGTTACTTTGCAGTGTCATGCCTGACCGCGCACGCTTCTCTGCCACTCGGACTGTCGTCTTCAGCTGCGGCACGCAGTTTGTCTGTGCTCTGACCTCTGGCGCCCCTCCACCCGCAGTGGACGCCAGCGAGGCCGGGGAGGGCAACCTGGAGATATCGATCAGCGCCGGGGGACGCAACATCCCCACCCAGGTGCACCCGCAGGGCTCGGCCCGCTTCGGGGTCAGCTTCGTGCCCCTGGAGCCGGTCGACCACACCATCAACATCTCCTTCAACAAGGAGCCCATCCCCGGTACGTGGCGCGGTGTGGAGTGTGAGGGGGACTGTGTCTGCAAAAGCGGCATTGCCATGCGGGCTTTGTGTCACGCTGGGAGTAAATAGGGGGAATGGCTCCGCGTGAGTGTTGTGAGAGGTGTAAGATCGTGTGAAAAGTCATGCGAGGACGTCTTCTCTGAGGGTTGCGATGTTTGGGATGTTAACTGTTGGCCACCACACTGCCAGTTAGTGCTAGCGTTAGACAGTCACCACAGGCAGTGCCAGGGCCGCTAAAAAAATTGCTTGCGTTAACCATTAAAGTCTGTAGAAAATATACAGATGCACTGAAGCTCCGAATTCGGCAGCGGTGTGCCGGTGCTGCTGGTGGCCCTCCATGTCCAATGAGAGATGGCCGTGTCAGGACGCTGATAGTGGCCCCCGTGTCGCACTGCTGCTGCTGACCCTCCCCGTCCAGTGATGAGAGGCGGCCGTGTCGCGGTGCTGTTGGTAACCCTCCCCGTCCAGTGATGAGAGGTGGCTGTGTCGCAGTGCTGTTGGTGACCCTCCCCGTCCAGTGATGAGAGGCGACAGTGTCGCAGTGCTGCTGGTGACCCTCCCCGTCCAGTGATGAGAGGTGGCCGTATCGCAGTGCTGCTGGTGGCCCTCCATATCCAATGAGGGATGGCCGTGTCAAGACGCTGATAGTGGCTCTCTCCGTCCAGTGATGAGAGGTGGCCGTGTCGCAGTGCTGTTAGTGACCCTCCCCGTCCAGCGATGAGAGGTGGTCGTGTCGCAGTGCTGCTGGTGACCCTCCCCGTCCAGTGATGAGAGGTGGCCGTATCGCAGTGCTGTTAGTGACCCTCCCCGTCCAGTGATGAGAGGTGGCCGTGTCGCAGTGCTGTTAGTGACCCTCCCCGTCCAGTGATGAGAGGTGGCCGTGTCACAGTGCTGCTGGTGACCCTCCCCGTCCAGTGATGAGAGGTGGCCGCCACTGACTGCTCGCCTTGTCCACAGGCTCGCCGTTCATGGCGCACGTACAGTCCGATCCGAACCACATCGTGGTGAAAGGCGCGTCTCTCGCCTCGACTGCCGTGGGCAAGTCGTCGTATTTCACGCTGAGCAATGTCTCTGGAAACGTCGAAGAGGTCGAGGTCAACGTCGATGGTGAGTTTGCGGCCGCTCACGCCGCGTGCCGGTCGCCGACTTGTGTCAGCTGCGGTCAGTTGCGGGTGCAGCGCCACCCGGCGAGGCTCTTGCTGCCACTTTCGCTAGTCGGTGAGACCTCGTTTTTGCGTGGATTTCGCGGCGAAGAGACCTCCATGAGAGCCGGCCGGCCGAGTTGTCCGGGATGGCTCTGGACGTGGTACTGCCGGGCGGTTCGGAGCGTGCACTCGACTCTTTGTCTTCGATGTCTCACCGTTACTTTTGTCGTTAACTTCCACCTCACCTGTCCTATCGTTAACTTTTCTGTGGGGTCTGCTTCACCGGATGTTCTGCTGTTTTCGTTGTGTTCACGCCAGGCACCGCCGCACGGAAATGTCTTGCGGCGCACGATTCAAAACAAAACAATCGCCTGCCACCAATGCGACCGCACTGAAGCTTGTACGTTTTTGTCCTTCGAGCCTGTACATTATTTCCCGCTATTATGGCGGCTTAGACTTTGAAAGATTTGCAGACCTGGTTCTAATAGAAGCATTTCCTTCTTCTTCCAGGTCGTTATAGTTCCCCTAAAGTTCACTAACACTCGCTTACTAACGCTTACTGGATGCATGTGAATGTAGTTTAGTGCATGGACGATTGGAGACTGACAATGTTTTTTATCATATGTTCATTTATAAGACATACATGGCTTAAAGTGGTGTGTGCTTCCTCACTGGGCCTTTCTTTAAATCGACAAATTCCTGATGAGATACAATGACTTTTCTTTCGGCTGCCATCGCTAGCCAGCTGCTTCCGGCTTGTTTCATGGGCCCACGAAACCTCGTTTCACTTGCTTTCATTTTGCCGCTCACTTTCCGACGACCTCTGACCCGCGTGTGCATGAGAGGTCGAAGGTCAGGGGCCTTCCGTTTGTCCGCTTTTGTTTCATTGCCGTAATTACGTTTGACTGCGTGCGCTGCGGTCGCGAAGAACGGAACATTAATTTCGCCTGTGGGTACCGAGCTGATAAATTTTGTGATTAATGGGTATAACGTACCGAAGGATCGATGTTACCTTGCACGACCACATAACAACTTAGACGTAAGGTTAGGCTGGTAGCCTCTGGCCATGCGGCCCGTAACCGAACAGTGCCGACGGAACGGGACGGACGGGACCGGGCGGTGGGGCCGGCGCCCCGACCCCCACCGCCCGCTAACCGACTGAGGCGCGGGGAGCACTAACCCGGCCTCCGCCGCCCGGGGCTCCGTAACGACCTCGACCTGACCCGACCTGACCGCACGCAATGTGCCAGGCCCCACCGGGCTGGCCGTGCCGACCCAAGTCAAGGATGACGGAGACGGCGGCCTGACTGTGGAGTTCAGTCCGCGGCTGGCCGGCGAGCACCGCATCCACGTGGCGTTCGGCGGCTCGCCCATTCCCGGCAGCCCGTTCGCCTGCAAGGTGTATGACGTCAGCGCCATCAAGGTCAAGGTGGTCACCAAGGGCGTGGTCGGCCGACCCGTCACCTTCATCGGTGAGTGGGCGGAGTTGTGGCTCGGGCTTAATTCTTGATGGAATGGTTTCAGTCGACATGGTGCCGTTTTAAGCACGATGGCCACTTGCGACGCGCGGATACCGATTTGAAATGTTGTCGCTTCAAAGTCCGCGCAAGTTAATGGTCCTAGACTTAAACGGAGCTTTAACATCAAACTATGTCAAATATCGTTCTCCATCCACGCCTTCGTGGACTCCCCATGACGTTATGCGATACTTTGCGGCACCCATGACCTTAGCAGTTGGAGGCGTGGAGTATCAGCAGCCGGACGGTGCGCTGGAGCGTGGTGTCGGGCCTCGACATCTCACCGTACGGGCGGGTGCCGCACTTGACGGATCCTCGCGACAGCTGTGTGACGGGTTGTGTGACGGCCGCGCAGCGGGCTTGTGACGAGCTGTGTGACAGGCTGTGTAACGGTGTGTGAGGGTCTGTTACGCCGCCTCCGCAGTGGAGACGATGAACGCCGGGCCGGGTAACCTGGAGGTGACGGTCAACAACGGCCAGGTGCCGACGTCGGCCCAGTCGCAGGGCCAGCACAAGTACGCCATCTCGTTCACGCCCAAGGAGGCCAAGCTGCACCAGGTGGAGCTGAAGTTTAACGGCGAGAACGTGCCAGGTCAGTGGCCCGCGTCCGATGAGGCCCTGGTGGGCGCCAATGCTGGCTTGCATCTGGTACACTGGCCGCTGAAAGGCTGGGCGACGCAGGTCGCGAGAGCCGTCCGCCGCAATGGTTCAGTGTTCGAATGGAGGGAGCGTTGGAGCCGAGATGTGCAGCGCCATGTGACAGCACCACCGCTTAAATTTCTTCTACGTCCCCTCTCCCCCATCCCCTTCTTCCGTTCTCGTCCACCCTACCCTTCTTTATCCCGCCTTTCCCCGTCCTGCAGGCTTCCCATTGCGCCGCGACCGATCTGCACGCAAGCGTGTTGCAGACATGTCACCTGTAACACCGGACCGGTGACCGTTGTTCGCCACTGGGCCGTGCGTGACGCTTCCGTGTCACGGTGGACCGCTGACCGCGGCTGGCGCCGTCCGGCAGGCTCGCCGTTCAAACTGTGCCGTGATGGACGCGTCCCAGGTGGCCGTGTCCGGCGCCGGCGTCGGCAAGGTGCCCGTCGGACGCCAGACCTGCTTCAACATCGACACCCAGGGCACGCACGTCAGTACAGCCGCGGCGCGGAGCCGCTCGCCATAGTTTCTGCTCAGTAAAACATAGGGACGTGATTTCGCAGCCTTGAACAGATCGCACTGCGAAATTCAAAGCTAGTTTTGCGTGGTGGCGTTAGGCCATGAGCTTTGAAGCTAGACTCGGACCCGCCAATATGGTTCATAACGTTTCCTTTACATTTCACGACGCATTTTTAAGCATCCGCCACCGCTGACCCGCTGTCAACGGGCCTCAGTTGCCAGGTCTAGGTCGGCATCCCCTCTCCGCTGAGCTGTTGAGAGCTGGACGACCTCGTGTTCACCATCCTGTCCCGCTGATCCGTGTGTGATGTCTCAGCTGACCTGTATGTCCTCCTCCCGTCAGGGGCTGGCCGACCTCGCGGTCGCTGTCCTGTCCCGCTGATCCGTGGGCGATATCTCAGCTGACCTGTATGTCCTCCACCCTTCAGGAGCTGGCCAACCTCGTGGTCACCATCCTGTCCCACTGATTTGTGTGTGATATCTCGGCTGACCTGTATGTCCTCCTTCCGTCAGGAGCTGGCCGACCTCACGGTCACTCTCCCGTCCCGCTGATCTGTGTGTGATGTCTCAGCTGACCTGTATGTCCTCCACTCTTCAGGAGCTGACCGACCTCGTGGCCACCATCCTGTCCCACTGATCCGTGTGTGATATCTCGGCTGACCTGTATGTCCTCCTTCCGTCAGGAGCTGGCCGACCTCATGGTCACTGTCCCGTCCCGCTGATCTGTGCGTGATGTCTCAGCTGACCTGTATGTCCTCCTCCCGTCAGGAGCTGGCCGACCTGGCGGTCACCATCCTGTCACCACTGCGGCGCCCTGTCACGGCCGAAGTGTGGAGCGTGGACGAACACCGTGCCATGGTGGAGTACACGCCCACCGAAGTCGGTACGTCACCTCTAGACCTACCACCCTGCCTTACAGGGAAAGCGTTACAGCGTGCAAAATAGACGTGCAGGACATATGCGCAGCTGCTGCAACCTGCATTTGCAATGTTAGATTTACGAATAATTCTTTCAAAGAGTGTCCATGACACCTGTATTCAGTGCCGTTATTTTTAATCTCCAATCATTTGGCATGCGAGGAAGATGTTTGAGTACACCGCACGCCGTGCTTGTCCTTAAAGTGGCGGCGTCTTCGCAGGTGATCACAGCGTCGAGGTTCGCCTTGGGGGTATGCTGATCCCCGGCGCGCCGTTTGTGGTCAAGGCGTACGACGTGAACAAGGTCAAGGTGACGGACGTGCAGAACGGCGTGGTCGGCAAGCCCGTCTACTTCTGCAGTGAGTGCCCGGCCGTGCTCCGAGCCCTCCCCCTCCCCTAACTCTCCCCTCCCCCGAGTTCCGGCTGGTCTTGCGGTGGCCTTCCCGGAGTGTTCGGACCCCGCCAGAGTGCTCCAGACGTTGGGTGGCCCGTGGGTCCAGAGATCAATCAGAACACACGCCGTCGTGTGTGGAAGTCGCAGTGGGACATGGCCAGGGGGTGTCCCTTCTTCTCATCACTTGATATAAATAGGATAGTGCATTCCCTGCGCTGCCGTTGACCAGGATTTGAACGAGTTTAAGTTCAGTCTGTCCGAAATGCTCATCCTGTTATTATTTCGGCTGTTTGGCCTGTATGGTCACTCGAACCGCAGCATCTTGGTAAACGCTTGCATGCGAGGATGGCACCTGCCGGTGTGGCAAATATTTGAGTAGATATGCAGTAACTGCTGTTTATGCCCTCCGCTTTCTGCTCTAACATTAAGGATCAGACAATGCTGGCGAATCTCAAGCATTCATTTTCGTTCACGTGGTACATCTTCACCCCTCAGAGTTGGCTGCACGCTTGAATGACGCTGAAATGGTCGTTCTACCGTTAATGGTAGATTAACGACCGCGGCGTAGATAATTAATGAGGTGTAATCGCACAAGATAAACGCTCATAGCTATCGGTCCCCGGGGACAAAAGTAAGGTAGTGCATCTTTGACTCATGGGGAATCTTTGTTACGAGCGTTATTTTATCAAACACTTGTGTGCTGCGCATTCTGAACTCCATTTGGTTTGCATTCTTCGCAACGGTCCTGTGTGTTGTTTAAAATGCAAGGACCTAGCGCCGCAATACTCATTTATGACAAAATGCGCTCCAGTTTTTTGTGAGTTATCTCCTTACCTACAGATGGCTCCTGATAGGAACCGGTCAATAACCCGAAGCGGGGGTGTTTTACAAATTGGTACGGAAAAAGCTTGCGATTAAATGATTTTACGCGATCATGTAATAATCCGGCCCACGCGGCGAGTGAACCTTTCTCTTCGTTCTTCATGGTGGCAAAGGCTCAGAGCGCATGCTTTAGTACCAGCTGGTGAGACCGTCCGTGATAAATCGTGACGGAACTTACGCCATGAGCCAGCAAAAGGCATCATAAATAACTCCCTTTCGCTCACCTGGCGCTAGAACGTGAACGAATAGAGCACGAAAAGTCGCTGACTCAGCATGTCCTTGTCGCTAGCGCAGTGCGGAAGCGTTATGCGGTTCCACATTCCAAAGCTCTCACGCTGCGGCGTAACAGCGTGGTGCGGCCATATTTATGATAACATTTCGTTATCTTAGACATTCCCTTCTCGGCCCAATGACAGTTCACAGGCTTAACATCGAGGCCAACCCATTCCCAATCTGCTTCTGGGATCCCTCAAGGTGGGCAGAGCCCATCTGTGTAGTACTGTCGAGCCGCTGCCCTGCGTGGACGGGTCTACCCGCTGGTCCGGGACTATCGCCCGAAATGGCTCCCTTCCGTGACCGGAGCTGACGGCTCTGGCACCTGCCGCGGCCTGACACGGCGACGACGCACGACCAGTCACAGAAAGACTCAGCCCAAACCTCCACAAGCGCTGTATCACTGTTATGGTTGTGACCAAACTCGGTGACACGGTGACCTGAATCGATGACCTCCATCCTGATGCGCCGCCTGTGACCTGATGTGAGGTCTAACACAGTGCGACCATGACCTGGCGCCTGACTGACCAGACTTATTGATGCTGTGACCTGGGCTGCTGCTCCAGTCGCCCCGTGTCTCTGTGACCTAACCCGTGACCAACGTCAGCCGACTTAGCTGACGCTGTGAGCTGACCCCGTCGCCGTGCCGTGTCACAGTCGACGCCAGCCAAGCGGGCGCCGGCAACCTGGAGATCATCGTGTCCGTGCACGGCCGCAACGTGCCCAACTACGTCCAGTCGGAGGGCAACGCGCGCTTCCGGGTCAACTTCAAGCCCCAGGAGTCGGCCAACCACA